CAACTCTGTCTTCATAGGATTTAATCTGAATTTGTTTCACACCAGCCATATCCTAACAGCCTCCAAGTACTGGTTCAGGACCTCCATGGCACCTCTGGCTCAGCCCAGGGTGGCGATCTTTAACTGAGTGTCATTAGTGTATTGATGACATCTGACCTCAAACTGATGATGAGCATTTCTAGCATTTCATTTGGTATTGGGTAACATGGGAGAGGGCCCTGACCCTTGTGGGAAACTACACTAGAATATTAATGGATTTGAATTCTTTCCCCCATGACCATTGACTATGATCACTGACTCAGATAGGACAGAGTCACCAAAATACGGCACTTCAAACTCCCATCTGTTGCAGGTAGCCCAGAGGAATACCAGAGTTGAGCCAAGAGGTCTAATAGGGCTAAAAGAAGCATATTTGTCCATCTAAGTCCCACAAAGGCCATCCCCATCAGAATGACCAATGCCATTTCTGTCCATGACTGGGCCTTAACCATGACTAGAAAGATCCAGATAATCTGTTTCCTCTAGGACCCACTGTGGCTAATTTGCTACCAACTTCTCAACCATCTTTCCTAAAAAGGGAAGACTGAAGACCAGTCAGAAATGATCAAACATGGTTTGATCAGAGGAAATCTCTTCAGAAAAGGATATATTATCACCTCCTTGGAAGGAGGCAGCATTATGGCCTTCCCTTAGAGAAGCATTACCTCCCAGATCCAACCTTTCATGTCCCACTTGGTCACCCAAAGGATCAGCAGGGTCCTGCAGATGACAGAACTCAAACTACAGAGAACCTATTCACTTCCTTGGGTTCCACAAACTCAAATACATCCCAGATTACTATATGAAATGCCACATTCTCATCTAGAGTAGACTCTGTCTAACTGGCATCCAGTCCACAGTGGATAGAAACAACTTTATCTGCTAAGAAATCCATAAACATATGGCAGCCTTCCCAAACTGGATGTTCTCTTGATGTACTGGTCAACATTCTCAATATCATCATATTGTTTTAGATCCAGAGAAACTATCCTATTCTCCTCAATGAGTTTAATACTTCCCTAACTCTACTGACATTTGAGGGACCATCCAAAATAGTGTTAGATGGTATCATAGGAACTGCAATGAATCTGTACAAATCGTCTGCAGGCAGAAGGTGAGGTGGGGATTATGCTTAGCTTCTGTGGATCAGGCCATACATTTTTGGTCCAGCCACTTTCAGGAATTGAAGCATACTTCTCTGAATATATCAAGCTATCACTACTGAGGTTACCCCTGCCCCGTCCCATGCATATGTAGAAGAAAAACAGATGACTTACGATTACCATCATTTCTAGGCAGAACAGTTTAGAAAGACAGGAAGTTTGATTAAGTTCATAAATACCTCATGTAGAATCAATGCATATCCTAATGCCCCAGAACACTAGCGTGATCCATGTCAGGCAAATCAACTTATTAAATAGAAAATCTAAAATGTTATTCAGCTTTTCTCTTTCTACTACTATCCAACACAAACTCTCTTTCTACTAATATCCAACACATATCCAATAAGATTTGCTTATTGGGGTAAGGGGTGGGGGTTATGCTTAAATATGAAAGCTCCTATATAAGTGAAGAGGGATTAAGTGACCTAAAGCCATTCTTGAATGTACAATTATTTAGGAAGACTGACTTTCATAAAAGCAACAACCTATCACCATCTCCAATATTTTTCCAATTTATGAAAAATTCCAATTAAAAAGTGGTGAGTAGGCATCCCCCTCCCATTAGTTTGCTATGAATGAATGAAACTTCTATCTCTGTGTGCATGTAGGATTAAGAGTAACACACAATGTTTAAACACAGGTTTAGAATATTTAAACAGTTCACATACATTATCTAATACATACTGGATTAGAAGTCTAGTAAAACTTCATACCTTTCATGGCATCTTTATATATGTTGATAAATAAGTTGAAGATTTCTTTAGGAATATCACTTTCATTTGACAAACAATGTAATAGTATGATAATTTCAGCTTGCCCCAAGCCATGCATTCCATTGGTGGAGAAATACCAGCATCTTTCTAAATTATCTAAATGACAAAAAAGCATTAAGACTTTTTTATTTATGTTGTTGTTAAAATACCAAAATTTAGAATTTTTATATCTTTTTATGTATCCAATAGAGCAATTCTGACCAAAAAGAGAATCTGCCATAGAACTGTTTTTAGCCCACCTCCCAGAGCCCTGCCATAAAGGGTTATCTCTGCCAGAAGTGAAATCATAACTATCCCCACCCCCTACTGGTTTCAATGACAGGGAAAATAACTGCTTAATTTGAGTTTAGCATAAACTGACTCCTGGACTTCATCTGAAATTGAGAGGCTATAATCCAATGGGTCTAAAGACAATCTTCTCCACTTGTAGAGTGTCCTACTCAGGGATAATTCTCTAGCTAACTTAATGAGAAAAAAAACTTCCATACCTAGAGATATGGGGAAGGACTGCATTGTAGGGCCAATAGTTATTCTGTATCACATTGTTGATAAAAAGTTTTTAAACAATCTTACAAAATGCACTTGTACAGGACATTACCAAAAAATATAAAATTAGAACTTGGTGATTTTATTAAATTACCTAAACCTTATCATCAAGGATGAACATATTACAATGAAATGAAGCAACTGTAATCAGATTACTGTATCTAAAAATATTTAGATTTGATACTACTTGACTTTCTGTACTACTGTATTTCCATCTGATTTGCCCTAATGAAGAGTTTGCAAGAGGGCAAAATCTTGTACTAATACTTGATTTAATACAAAATATCAACCTCCTGTTTTATATCCCTATCAATGTCCGCAACACTTTAGAATCATACTAGAATGTTTTGCATTCCAAGGCAATTAAATGTGTCCCAATGGTGAAAAAAGATGACATTTATTCAAAAGTAGATCAAAGTAGCATAAGAAGACAGAAAGAAAAAGGCAACTGAAAGGTAGAAAATAAAAGGTAAGTAATTATAAGATAGAAATGGTAATTGGAAAAGTATCTTTTAAAAAAATCAATTAAAACTGACCAGTTGATTATAATAGTTCAGAGTTTACATTTGCAACTGTAATTACAATAATAATTTACATGTTTGTTTTGATATACTAATACTTACAAGATAGTATCTTTACATTCACAAGTAAGTTTGCATTTAGGATGAATGTCACTGGATTAGAGTCTTCAAGCAATAAGGTAACTTGCTCATTAGAAGGATGTTCTTCTATTAAGGATTCTGAAGAAAATATGAAGGTATTGGTCCAAAATATGATACAGTAAAAAGACAGACAACTACAATCCTGAATATTGGATTTCTTTTCTTAGTAACTAGAACTACACTGAGATAACTGATGCTTAGGATGTAATCCAATGAACCAAAGCTGGATCAAACCAATTTTTTCATGTTTCCTCAGTTCTGGACCTTATAAAAATAGGTCTGTGAATACTTATTTCACTGTTGGCAATGGTAAATGGGTTGTCTCTTGACGTTTACCTATTTGTATCATACAACTGATCCGTGAATAGAGTTCTTTTAAGTTATCTAAAATTGAACATACATGGGACAACTACAGTTTCCTTGAGAAACAATTCTATAATTGAGGGGGCCTAATCCACAAGATTCTATTGGGCTGCACAGAGAGTTGTGACCATGAGTAAGCTTTCCTTTGGCAATCTCAATGCATAAATTTACTGATATTGGAAAGGTATTAACCTTGAATCCAGTTCAGTCGCTCATTAGCAACTAATGCAATACTGTTAGGTACTGTTAGGTATCACGTTTCTCACTTAGTTGCTCCACTTAAACTAGCAATTACACTTTGCATTATTGCAGCTTCTAGACAATCTTTAAGGATAGCCCCATGCATACTGCAATAATGTAACCATGAAATTAAGATATGGATAACCCAAAACCAGGAAATCCTCAACTTTTGAAGCCAAGAATGGGCACTAGATGCAGCAGCCATTGTGCATGTAGAGATAGTTCTGGATTAGTCCCACCAAAACAGCACAACCTCATTCAGAACATGCCATGTCCCACAGCACCTTATTTTTCCAGTTTTGAATTTCAATTTATACACTCTAATCTAGCAGAAATGTCTATTGACATCCAACTTTGTTTCATTATAACAAAAAAATATGTTACGCTACAAAATTTTTCTACACTATGAAAGAATCACATCAGCTATTTTAGTTCAAACTCAATTTCTAAAAATCAAATTCTTAGCCTAACAATCAGTATATGTAAACCTATCTGTATTTCATATCATGCATTTACATTAAATGTATATTGAAATTAGTATCATCACTCTGGGTTTCCTTAGAAAGAAGTATAGTATAAAAACAAAATAAATAATATCAGTGTACTTGCATGATTCATAGTATTATTTAACACTTCTACATTGCAAAATAATTTGGAAGAGTAAGAAACAATCCTATTTTTTGCAACACCTTGAAAGCAAAACATTACCTTTGCCTTTTTCTCCTTTTGCAAGCAGAAGAGGTGGAAATCCATCATCCTCGGGAATAAGACTGACCTCCTTGCTAACACAGTTTTCAATGCAACAAAGCATCCTATAATCTAATGTACTAGTAGGTATATCATTTGCTTGATCTGTTGCAGCAGGAACAGGTTCCTTTGCTGGTTCAGCAACAGTAGGAAATTCAGTAACAGCTACAATCACAGAATCAGAATCACATGGCACTTGAGTTTGTGAAATGGGCAGACGGTCAGAATCACATGGTAAGTCAAGTCGCCCTTTACTAGGCAATAGGTCTTCTTGTGGAACAGAAGTAGAACACCATACAATCCCAGTTTCTTCAGCAACATGCATTTCATCTTTTGATTTGGTATCAGTTGCAGAGACAGTTTCATTTGTTGGACTTCCAACCTATGACAAAAGTTTTCCCATTAGATCTGGCATTCACTTGAGTTCAATACTGCAAAATTTGTATAAATACTTTAACTATTGGGTTAAACTTTGGGTTGAGAGAGCTTTTGCACTGAAAAGCAAACAAATTAATAAAGAAAATAGGAAAACAAGATCAGGCAGCATTCTGCACATACAAAAAACCCTTAAACGCAATTAAGCAGAATCTATTACTGTATTTATTTATTTATTTATTTGATTTATATAGCCACCCATCTCACTTTTCTGTGACTCTAGGTGGCTTACAATAAAACAAATCAAAACACAAAATATGTAATGTAAAACTAAAATAAATATACATAGCAGCTGGGCACAATCTAATCCATCATCCGTATAACCAAGACATGGGCTCTAGCCCACGCCCAGGAACCCAGGCTCAAGCACAAAGCCAAGTTTTCAAGACTTTACAAAAGGCCAACAGGCATGGGGCCAATCTAATCTCAGGAAGAATGATGTTCCAAGGGAAGGGTGCCATGGCAGAAAAGACTCTCCTTCTGGGCCCTGCCATCCAACAATCCCTAGTGTGATGGTACCCAGAGCATGCCCTTCCTGCCAGATTGGATAGGATGGGTAGAAACAACTGAGGAGAGTCAGCCCTGTAAGTAACCCAGTCTTCATCCATGAAGGACTTTAAAGGTGACAACCAGCACCTTGAATTGCACCTGGAAGCACACCAGAAGCCAGTGCAGTTCACAGAGCAGTGGTGTCACATGTGCTGAGAAAACTGGCACCAGAAACTCCCTGTGCCACTGCATTTTGCACCAGTTGAAGTTTCCAAATACTCTTCAAGGGCAGCTCCACATAAAGCTCATTGCAGTAGTCCAATCTGGAAGCAACAAGGGCATGAGTGACCATGAGCAGGGCCCCCCAGTCTAGGAATGGGCGCAACTGATCCACAGCCCTAAGCTGTGCAAAGAATGTTCTAGCCACAGCTCTTTTAGCAGGAGCTGTGAGTCCAGGAGGATCCCCAGATTGCACACTGGGTCTGTCTGGGGCAGTGCCATATCATCCAGAACCAAAGATGGAAGGTCCCCAGAACCAGGAGGTTCAAAAACTCAGAGCCACTTTGTCTTGCTTGAGTTGAGCTGAAGCCTGTTGTGCCCCATCCAGGCCCAATGCTAGTATCAATGCTAGTTTTGGGGAACTCTTTAGTTCATCTAAAGTGACCTTAAAAAAAAACCAAACCTTTATCCATGGTTGAGGCAGCTGAATAGATTTCTGGACTTGAAATGAAGAAGTTCAACTATTCCTACTCAACAATTTAACCCATCTTAACTGGTTGAAATTAAAAAGTGAAACTATCCTCTGATTCCTAGGTTACACATGCATAATTGTAAGTAGGTTTCAACTTTGTATATTTGGATCACTTTAATAACACAAAACAAAAAGATGTACTCAGAAAATGAACTCCCCGCAACAGGAACACAAATATCTACTTTTAATTTTTGAAGCCAAAGAATAAAGTGTGAAGTCATTAGAAAAACAAAATTATTATGTTACTATCTGTTGCTGTCTTGGTATACACTGATATAAAAACAGGATACACAAATAAATAATATAAATTATGTTATTTGCTTGCAGGAGAAACAAAGTCATAAGCATTTTATTATATGCAGCTGCTGGATAAACACACACAGTCGATCAATATATGCTACAATTTATTGCAAACAGAAAATCAGAGAAACCTGGCAAAAACTTGAGAATATAAGAATACCAATGGGTCATCAATCTACTGGTTCCTTTGATCTTTTGTTACAGTATCACTTCATCGTAAGTAATGAAAATATTCCTTCCTTGGTACCAATGTCCCAAATTATTATGATAAACAATTCTCAACTGAGTGATGTAACTCACTGGCTGCAAGGTAATATGTAGATTCTAAACAAATTTGAGCAGTATATTTTCTGTATTAAAAAAGACAAATCAGTTTTGCATGACACACTTATCAGCTAGCTAATTGTATTCAGAACATAAAATGACAATTTCGGATAAAGTAGGGCTTACAGAATATGGTTCCTGTGGGAATCGCCTGATTCCAGATGACAATTTTGTTGTGTCTGCAACTTCCCCATTAGGTAAAATTCCATCTGCAAACCAAACTCTTTTCTGTTCTTTAGGAAGCGGTCCTGTAGGAGAAGAAACAAATGAGTACCCCACAGGTATTTGCTTAGCTAACACCAAAGTCACCTACCCTCTCCCTCCCATACAAAAATTCATTTAAAATCCACATGATGGCTCTGAAATCTCATAGTAGGTAAAAGAAATGTTATAAACATCATATCCAAAGACACAGGATTTCTGCAGCTAGTAATGTCAAGCAACTGCCATATAATACTTTACATACAATTTCAAGATGCAATTGGATTTGCGTATAGAAGAATTTGCATAGGAGCTAGAAGAGTTTACTTCTCAAGACTAGCTTACAGAAGCTCCTTTTTCACTTTTCCATCTCAGGTATGGAGGTGTTATCTTAAAGGTGCTGAATAATTCCTTAGGGAAAGTTTGTCTGTGTGGGTTTTTTTTACAAGATCTCTTTCATGAAAGTTCACTTTTTTGGAGTGTTTCTGTTCAAATGAAGTTCATGGCACTGGTAAAAGGAATACTTGCTATTTTCATCAGTAAGTTGTCAGACTACTACCCAACTGACATTTATAGCATGAATGTAAATGCATATAGAATTAAGTGCATCATAGGCACCTGACATATAGTTTTGCTTTAAGTAAGTTTTAGTTTTAAGTTCCACTCTCCACCAACAAGTATCACAAGTTGTATGCTGAAGAAAATATTATCACCAAAAAAGAAATACTTATTTGAAGAATTTGCTCACCTAACAAAACAATACAGTCTGCAAGTATATTGTGCAACAATAAATGTCTAGGAATGCTTGGGCAGTAAATGAAGTTTAGCTTGGTTAATCTCTTTAATGAGTATGGATAATGTGTGATCTCTAGATGTTGAACTCCCATCACCCTTACCACTGTCCTTACTAGCCAGTGCTGCTGTCAACTGGGATATAAATCTATAAAGCCACTCATGGCCCATCCCTATTTTTTTTTTTAGCTAGCCACTGTTAAAATAGAGCTGGATAATAACATAGAATAAGAGGTACCAGATGTCTGGGTTTCATGCAGAGATGGAACAGCTGAAGATTCAGAAAATACAGAATCAGGTGCTGGACCAGTTGGGGTCATCATTCTTTCTAATGCCTGTGCTAACAAACAAAATTTAAAAGAGTTTAAGTGTCAAAACTATATCCTAGAATCTTTCACAAATGTCTGCTTCTGGGGTATTCATTTGCCTAATAATAATCAAGGTGAGTTCAGGATATATCATATACAATTTCATTTTTAACTAATCCTGCAATGTTTGAGCTTTTAATATATAACTTTTTAACATAATTTCTTTTTACAAAACATTTCTTTAAAAAGCATTACTGTTTTATATCAATCTAAAGTTTGTTAAGTAAAATGTATTCTTTAAGTCTTATGTTCCTTCTTGGAAAGCTCTTTAAGATGATGATGACATTCCCCAGCTATTCGCATTTCTCATGTCAAAGGCTTTTAAAAGGTCACATTTAAATTGCAGATCTAGCAGAGAGTTGGGAGTTCACTAGGACTTTGTGCTAACTGGGAAACTCTGATGGTAGTGGTGGCCAGGAACATTTTACCAGTTTAGACAGGAATACTCCTGCAATCTTATCTAAAGAAAACAGATCTTCCTTCAGTTATTCATGTTCTTGTGACATCTAGATGGACTAGACTACTATACTGCATTATACATGGGTACAGTTGAAAAATGTTAACTGATGAAAAATGTAGCTCCTGAATACTGCTGAGAATGGGGCAATTTGAACATTTCACAACTAGATTATACAAATTAATATTCTTGAAGGGCCACCTTTACCTCTAGGACTCTTCATGAACCCTGTGGTGCTACTAATATGGTCCATCTGTAAGACCATTTAGGCTGATGGGCAGGAGGCAGAAGATCCCTTTGGCAATAAATACATAGGCCCCACCATTGTACAATACAAAATGACTCCAAAGAACCATTTCTTTACTAACGCTTTCTCTTAAAGATTGTCTTGAACTGTTCTGTAGATGATAATGTTATTATCATTGTCATTTACACAACAGTAAGATATATCTATCCTCCCATTTCCCCCCACAACAAAAACCCTGTGAGATAGGTGAGAATGAGAGTGAGTCACTGGCCCTAAATAAAGTGAACTTCCATAGCTAAGATTAGATTAACACCTGGGCTTCCCTGGTGCCAGTCCAACATTCTAATCACTACACCATACTTGCTCTTGTTATCATGCTTTGCACAAAAATGAAATGGAAGATAATTATTTTTTATTCTGAAGACAGTATTTTTACTGACTATGAGCTGCTTTAGTATTTGCTGGCTTTAAAAAACTTTTTAAAAACTTTACTATGTATATATTGCAAGTGTATGTATATCAAAAACAGCTTTGAGTTTTGTCCTATTTTTTATTTTCTTAAATAAATAAAAGCATTCAAGGAAGACACTTATATTTATAGCTAACTGAAAATGCTAAATCATTTTCAGAAACAATTTCAGTACTTCTGCGCCACAACTGCCTCACACTGGCACCTTAGGCACAGGGACTTACTGTATTTGAAAAGAACACGTGCAAATCCCATCCTCTGCTGCTATTAACATAAAAACCAAGATCAAGTAGATGTAGCACAGTCTTAATTATACCTTATCACTGAAGTGGAATACAGAAAAATATATTGACACATTTAACCTCTTTCTCTCTCAGGAGGACAACAGCAACTGTAGAATAAGTATCATCTGATCCTTCCTGGGAAAATATCCTAGGATATCTAATTGCCAGTGTCAGAATTAATAATACATTAATTGCAGCATACCAAAACATGGAACACCCAAACATACAGCAATGTAGTATCATTAAATGTCATCTGGTAGAGAGCACTCTCCTAGATATATGGAGGTATACTTAGGATGATCTAAAGCTTAGTTTGTGATACTCGACCCTTGTTGCTTATTAGGTTGTCTCCTTTTTTGTGTTTTATTGATATGGCATGCTTTCATGGCTGTCTGGATATACAGGTGAAACTCGAAAAATTAGAATATCGTGCAAATGTTCATTTATGTCAGTA